GCACTGTACATACTGTATATATCCCACAAGCACCTTTTCTTTCTCACTATTTAGCCAATGTGACAAGTGAATTTCACCAGTTTGAGATCAATAAAGTCAATCAATCAATCTATCAATCAGTGTCTAATGACTCGGTATGAATTTCCGTTTTTGACTCAGATGACAAAAATATTGTACTTTTTTTAACGATTCTTTGTAACTAATTTCAGGAAGAAATGTGAACTTGGAGAAGAATGTTAAAATCTGGGTATATTACAAGAAAAAACCTTCATTCAATATACATTGGATCTCAAGCCTTTAAATATCATTTGTAAAATTACAAGACTTAGGAAAATTGACAGCATAGTAAAATATTACACATTGAATGTTGCATATATCTTTTTCCTATCAATTTAAGAATAAATGTGTTTGGAGGAAAAATAAAATGCATTTGATTACCTGACTGCAAGACTGTGCACACCCTGAAACTTATGCCCCTGTCACACCCTGACCATTTATATCAGTGTATGCCTGATGTATGAAAAATCTGACAAAAGCGCTGGCATACAGTGGATAAGTTATGGGTATACGTTTTGTATAATTTATGAGAAAGCTGTAGCACGCTGAAACATACTGGCACAGGTTGACATATGGAAAGTAAAAATTTCTCAATGTATGCCAGAATATGCTATTCTGGGGGCATAGGTTACAGGTAAGTTATCTGATTGTTGACATACGTTAAGATACTTATAAGTCGTGGAGTCTAGCTTATCCAAAACCTATGATTAACTTGTGCATAACTTACTGTATGCGTAACTTATCAAGAACTTATCTCCAATGCATATCAACGTATTTGAGACGTTCCAGGTGACAGCTGAACGCGTTTCTAACTTATAGCTACTGTATGTTGGCGTATTGGCGAGTGTGTTGGTATAAAAGGGGGTTTAAAGGAGGAAACCGTCCTACCTGTGTTCACGACCACGACCAACAAACTTCCAAGCAGGCATGATGCTGAATCTACTGCGAGTGCAAACCATCTTTCTCTTTCTTTCTTTTTTTTTGGTGGGGGTAAACAGCAGCTAGGTTAATACCGTGATAAATGTTTTTAAGCAGGCTTGGTGCCTCCGGCGCTTTGCTGCACCATACAGAACACTGGCTTTTGACATTTTATGGGCATTACGCTGCATCATGCAAAAGTTAGGCTGTCGTTAGACAAAAGTTCTGGACTCGTTATGAATATGTTAAGTATATGCCCAAAATTAAAGAAAAAATAATGCATAGAAAGTTCAGCATATGCCTGCGTTTTAGGAAATTCTGAGATGACAGGCATACGTTGTTTCAATCTGCAAGGTGTGACAGTGCCATAAGAACCTTTAACTGAAGCACCTGTAAACTCTTTTTCTTATGAGTAATGTATGGCAGCATTTAAATAAAACCTATTACATGGGTCTGGACTTAAAAAAAAAAAAGATTTTGTGGAACATAAACTACTTTTTTGTATTTGATGTGTAAGTGTTAAACCTCTGCTGTGTTACCACTAGGTATGTTACTTTACTGTGATGCAGTCTTCTTTCTTGTTTTTTTTTTACTGTTTTCTGTCTTGAAAGGGTAAGTCAATTATTTGATAAATTGATTAGAAAGCAGTGTATAGTTAGTTTCCTTTTGGTTACTAAATAATGCTTCAAAATATGTCTTTTTCTGTATGTTTACCCATCCACTTTAAATTAACCCGTTTGAAATTGATGCAAAAGGATGATATATAGGCTTTGAATTCAAGTTGACACAAAATCTTTTTTACCACTTTGTTAATGCGCAAAATATATAATTACAAATCAAATGGCTGTTAAAAAACTGAAACAGCAAAAAAGGCAGCACACAGTAATCTTGAACATATCCTTTTAAAAGCTTTGCCAGATGAACAGGACATTTTAAAATTTAGATTCCCTTTATTAGCATTTAAATAAAGTGTTTAGAAATAAAGTGTTCTGAAACCTCCACGAGTTTTGGTTCCAGCTAATATTACCATGGCGGATGCTAGGGAGGCTTTGACTACATCAGAGAACACTTAAAACATGCTCAGCCACATTTCAAGACCCCCCTTCCTCCTCTCTCTTCCTCCTCCTCCTCCTTCACCACCACCTCCTCCTCTCACTGCGTCCCCTTCCATCCCCCCATGTTGCCTCAGGAAGAAAACTGGGCAACATCTGGCTAAGTTTATGAGCGAGAGGGAGAGAGAATTGGTAGACCATGAAAACTAGGATTTTTTTTTCAGCCTGTGCAGCAAGCCATTCTTGGAGCTGCCATTAGAGGCGATGATATTTTAATCTTGTGAAAATGCTCAACATAGCAATGAAATTTACCAACAAGGCCTCTGATGTCATTCTGATAAAAACATATGTTGCCGCTTAAGTGAAAAGTTTTATTTGAACAACATGAACAAATCAAAAGCTGCCAAAGTGGAATGAGCAAAGGGTGAACATTGTTACCCCCAGACATTCACATTCATTAAAACTCAATGAGTAGGACCAAACTAAACACACACACACACACCCACACACCTACACATGTTGTACAGCGACTGTACATATTTAATCATTTACACAGTGGTAAGTTTCTGAGTCAACAATACAGCAACTATTGTCACCTCAAATCAACATTAGTATAGTGAAACTGCAGTTCTTTAAATTGGAAGTCACTTCAGTGTTAGATAAGTTACAGATATTTACAAGATCAATAAATAGATAATTAAATACATCATTCTTCTTAAGACACAAAGCTGATGTAAAAAGAACAAGAGTGGCACTCAGATTATTTAACTACTGAAAATCAAACAAAACACAACATTACACAGGAGAAATGTAAAACACTGCACTTTCCTCAATAGTGAACTGTCCTTACTTTGAATGTAAGTTGGTTAAATTTTTCTTTGTGGTAATGTCAAGAATCACCTTTATGCAGTGCATTATAAAATAATTTATATCTCTTGAACATGTTCATCATGTTACAAGGAAACATTTCAAAATATTTCCATTTGGATCCTTTTATGAACACATATGCAGTGCTGTTTGCCACATGCTATAGCAGCGGTCCCCAACCTTTTTTCCACCATGGACCGCTATATGTCAGACAATATTTTAACGGACCGGCCGAGGGGGGCTAAATACGATCAAGTAAAATGATACGACTGGCATAAAATCAAATACAAACAGCATAAAAATAAAACAACAAGCCGGTCCCATCAAGTGTGCTCCTGATGTCCAGTCTGCTCCGTAGCTTTGTTTTGGTCGCTGTAACCGCAGAAAAAACCGTTTCAAAAAAGATAGGACGTTATAGATAGGATGAGTGTCAAGAGGCACAGATGCACCGACTGATGTAATTGTGAGAGAATATCTCAATTTTTTATATTTTTCAAAATAAAACATCACTCAGACTCTGATCGTCGATAAATGTTTATATATATATGCTTTTTTCTGTGCGGCCCGGTACCAAAAGACTGACGGACCGGTACCAGTCGCGGCCCGGTGGTTGGGGACCGCTGTGCTATAGGACAGCGAGTAGGAGAACTTTGTTACCTACGTAGCATTAAGTGGCCGAACACTGACACTGCATATCACACTGAACACACTTCCTGTTTGGTGAATCATCAGGATAGCAGCATATGAATAAGCTGTGATGACACAAGGGTGAATCTAAAAACTTGCAGGATACCCCTGATTTAGATCAAATAACTTTAGAATGGCCCACTGAAAGCCAAGACCTAAATCCAGTTGGTTATCCATGGCTAAAACAATATTATCTCATATGTTCCATCTGATCTAACTGATGTTTAACTATTATTTGAAGAAAAATAGCTGGAGCTTGTAGAGAAATAACCTCAAAAGTGTTTTCAACTTTAAACACAGAAGAAAAAATATACTTTTAAGAAAACCTCAGAGATATGCACTCCATAAAAAAATCATTTTAGTTTTTGGTTCTGATGTGACTAAAATGTTAAAAGCTCCATGGGGTACGACTAACAGGTAAAAGATAGTTCCCCAATTTAAATTTTAAATTGTTCAGCGATTAAAATCTTGGATGATTGTTGAATCTGTTGCAGTCCCATCTCATTAATCCATCCCAGTAGACTGGATCAGTTCCTTTGGCACTGTACATAGAGGATTTTGAGGTCCATGTTGTAATATTTACAAAAGTCCTATATTTATCTGCCCAAGTAAATACCTTCCTGGCAAAGTAAACCTGGGCAGGTATGGGTTTGGGGGTTGTTCTTTTCGCTCAGCTTTTCCTTGCAGTCATCAGCAATGTTGTGACTCTTTGTTAATGTGAAGTCAGGCCTCTGTAGCACCACGGCACAGCAAAACGATTCCAGCTTCCAGTCTATTGAAAACAGCCCAGGAATTGAAGGCAGGAACAAGCTTGCCAAAACTGAATTGCAGTAAGGGAGATTTATCCACAAGGAACTCGGCTCCCCAGCCATCCATTGTGTTTGTCCATGAATGCGACTTTTATCAGTGACATTGATATTTAAAACCATTTAAAAGCCAAATTTGTTGCACTTTCGTATTTAAGTATTAGGGGCTGAAAACAAGGATGAATCCTCTGGTCCTGGGATCTGAAGCGACCCATTCCTGAGGTTTCAACAGCTCTGAAAAAAGAATTGAGGAAAAAAAGCAATTAGTAAGAGGTGGAATGCAAAAAAATCTCAACAAACAAATCAGTTTCATCACTGAGTTACTTCACTTGGTTTGAATAAACAGACCAATATGTCCATTTTGGTGTGGACAACCTTCGTTTTCCCATTGGAACTCCTTAAGAATTCTCAAAATGCATTTGGTAACCGTGCAAACATTAAATGCTCATTAATAAAGAAGAGGGAAAAGAGACTATTGGAATGTGTCTGTTATTCAGGCTGCACAGCAGTCAGCAACAAGTCACCTCTTTCCTGAGGGCTATGAAACAATGATGTATGTATAGTTTGCTAGGGGCGCCTCATTGGCTGAGCAAACAGGCCCCAAAATAACTACCAATCAACGAAGATGCTATCATCACTCACTCACTGTGGGTATTGTGAAAGATTTAAAGTACACTTTGTTTGCCAAGAGCCAGAATTTTGTACATATAAAATTATAGAACAAGCATATAGATACAGAAATGTGTAAAACAACATTGATTAGAAGTCTATTGTATTCTGTGCATATAGAGGAATTTCAGATCATAAGGAATGTGTCCAATCTCTTCCTGCCTTACGCTGATTGGCTGCTACGCAAAGAGGGATCATCCATTACATGCAGAGGTAAATAAACAGTGGTAGCAATTAAAGTTCCATCATTTGTTATGCATTGTATGATGTTCATGTGTGTGCATACACACACATGCATCTCCCCATTCATATGTCTTACCAGCTATGCTTGCGTGTGTGTGCAAGTGAATTTGCGTATGTATAGTGTTGAACATTCTCAGGTTTAGCCGTCAACTGCACTTAAATTAATGATTTGGGGGCCCAAGAATCAACAAATGTGACCCCTGGCAGACCATAATATGGACCCAACCTGCCCGTGGATGTGTTTGAAGGCCGCTTCTCTTTCTTCTCTGTCAGCACCTCACTACCTCCGCACAACAGATGCATTCACTACACAAACACACATGTAACGCCTGCATTCGTGTTGTTTATGAGGAAGTGTGTTGCCATGTGGTCATGGGCATGTGTACGCTTAGCAGCCTCTGATTATTTTACATGTCAGCATGTTGTGACAGAGTGTTAAAATCATATGAAATTTTAGGTTTTCAGAGGTTAGGTGTGACATTTTTGGGCTTGATATGGAGAGACACGTGTTAAAGCAAAGCACTTTATATTAGCTGGGAAAGCTGAAAGCACATGGAAAATTTAGTCTGCCTAGATGACTGAGCGAGTGCTTAAGGCCTCTTTGGCATAAAGGTCTCACTCCACAATTTTCTGGATCATTGGCTGGGAAAGAGTAAGAAAGTCGGCTAAATGATCTGAGGAACATGACTTCTGTGGTGATTTGACATATTGTATGTTTAAAACAACTTGGATTAAACTAAGTATGACAACTTTTAAAATAGCAGCAAAAAGGTGTACTGAGGTTTTATAAAGTTACTATAATAGTTTTCTGCCATTCGTTCCAAAATGTTCAAGTCCTTCTAAGAAGTTGGCAGATAAAATTACCAGGATTTTCTCTGGGTTGTTAAGCATAGAGTAATGAGCCACTGTTGAGCTGACTGCCAGCAGGCTAAAACATTTTAATAGAAATCTGTCTGTATTTCCTGACGTGACACTAAAGGCCAATCGATGAACGCTCAGATTACATTATTTGACAAATAAGATTCCATTTTTTCTTTAGTTGCAGCTAGCCTGATAAATGCCCCTCTGTGAGAAGTGGAACCAAGTGGGTCATGGAGTACATTTTTGTCACAGTATGGCAAAATACAATTTCTCTCTCTACCCCCAACTCCAATCAGCAATTCATATCTCCTCCTCCCCATGTAACCCTCCTCTTCCTCCCTTCCTCTCCACTCTCAGGATGCTTAATGGTGGGATCACAAAAGGTGAACACCTTCTCATATTAATAACTGTTAATCTTGTGCTTAGGGATTATGAGGTTAGTAATAACTTGTAACATTTTCTCTGTTACATTTACTAAAGTAATGTTTTGACAAAAATACATTAGGACATTTTTTCTGCACCATACTGTACTTTTTTGCTTATACTTAAGTATTATCGTTATCAAAACATTGTTAATTTTACTTAAGTAACATTTTTCTTGACTATCCACTGTGAGTCACTTCACTGAATATGCTGGTTTTCAATTCAATTTATTTATATAGTGCCAATTCACAACATGTTATGTCAAGGCACTTTGCAATTCAACCAGATCATACAGTCAAATTGATTCAAAATTTTCTATCTAAGGAAAACCAGTTGATGGCATCAACTCATTGACTTGAATGCAATCCTTCACACTAAGCATGCTTGTACCGACAGTAGAGAGAAAAAATCCCGCTTGACCAGGAAGAAACCTCCATCAGAACCAGACTCGGTGTGAGCGGCAATCTGCCGAGGCCAACTGGGTTTTGAACAAAGGTGCTCCGGACAAAGACACCCAAACTGTGTTTCCATTAACCATTGAAATGTGCAAACTGTACTTTTAAATAGAATGCTAAATGGAAAAACAGAAATTTTGAAAAAAAACTAATATTTTTCTACAAAGAGTGTTTACATTTCCATCTGATGGTTTTTTGGTCCCATCAAACTTACTATATTTTACAAAACTGCAGTGGAAACCCTTTTTGATCTATAACAGGACCCTACTGCCCTGTGAAAAGACGAAGGAGAAGATAACTGGTGAATTTTCGTGTTGCATATTTAGATTCATGAGGAGACTGAGTATTTTGTACATTTAGTCAGCCACCATGAGCATTAAAGCTTTTTCTGAACTATGAATATATCTCAAGTTTTCCTATCTGCCCCTGCCATTTTGTTTGCAATTTTTCTTTCATTTCTTATTTAATGGAAATACCACAATTGCAAAAATTTGCATTTTTTAAATAAGCAGAACATCAACATAGTTTTCAGCAAATTTTTAATAGAAACGTAACTACAGTTAATGTTTATGCCAAAAGAAGTGTTCCATTTCGGTGGACAAGCTTATTGTGTATCTGGAGTAGATAATAGTAATATAAAGAAGCAAATATTGTCACTCAAGGTAATTATCAAAATTACCTACTTACAGGATTTGCCTCTGTTTAAGGTTGATTTCAGAATTGGTTCCTTAGCCTGGATTTATTATCAACTATTATAAATTCAACTATTCATTTAATAGCAGGTGAAGATTCTCAGTCATCCAGGTCATAGTAATTCCAAAAAAGTAAAAAAAAAAAAATGATCCACCGGACTTTGTTTCCAAGTTTGAAGACGTTTAGCTTCCCCTCAAGGAAGCTTTTTCAATTCGAAATGTTAGAATTAGTATTGACTTTGTGGCTTTATAGAGTGGACAAAAACAAAGCCTGGTTTTGGCTTAGAAAACATGCAAACTGAACTGGATGAACGGGTCCGCCCCTTAGGAATGGGGGTCCTATGGGTTCTTTGTTAGTCTACAATACCCGATATCGGGCTATGCCTCTGAGAGAGGGGTCGCTAGGGGGAATTGTTGGCCTGGCTGCACAGGCGAGATGTTCTGGACCCCTGTATAGGGGTGGGGGTTTCAGTGATAGCGGGAAGGATTTAACACTATCGCTGCAATGTGTCTTTTATTTTTATTACTGTTTTTAAAATAACATAATTTGCACTTATATTTACATTTTGGTCTGTCTTAAATATATAATTCTAAGTTGTACGTCAGATGTGATGAGTTAGTCAGTACTAAGTAGCCTTTTTTACCAAACACTTTTTTCACTGTTACTTGAGTAAAAAATATGATGTATTGGTGCTACCATTACTGAAGAACTATTTTGGGTACTCAACCCCCCTCTAAGGATGAACAAATCACATGAATATTTCTGGTGAAAACATGTATGCAGTACTACTGCTACACTGCAAAAACACTTAAATTCAGTGTATTCACCCTTAATTTGAGTAGGTAAATGAGATAGTTTGCCAATGGAATGAGTAATTTTATTCTTAAAATAAGATAATTAGATAATATGCACTTGAAATAAGACAATGCAATTGTGTTTTCTTATTTTAAGTGTAAATTGTCTTGTTACATTGGCAAAATGTCTCTTTTACCTCCTTAATTCGAGAACAAATGCACTTATTTGAAGAAAAAATTACTTATCTAGATTTAGATTTTTTGCAGTGTAGTTCCTTTGTTGATTAGATGTCCAAACATTTTTACACCAAATTAGTTCATGTCCTTATTCTCGTCTGGTGCCAGATCCAGTTTGTAATGTTTAGTCTAAGAGGACTATTGTGGTGGGAATTGCAATGGAGCCAGATCCTTACATTTTGGCAAGTGTTTTATCTACTTTCTACTTTATATTTTTATTGGTTAAACTTCACTCTAATAAAATAAATTCTTAGAGAATTCTTAAAGAAGGTGACTCACTGTAAAGACGGATTTATACTCTGAAACCAGGTCATCTGCTTGAGTGTCGCAGTGAACGCAAATGTGCCCCTGCCCCTTCCGCAGACACTCTGGTGCACCTCTTCCTAATTGTAGGTGACCTCAGACAGTACCGCGGACATGAGGCATCTGATTGGTCAAATCTACATCTGCTCCACACTTAGCATATTTCCTGTTTGGTATGTTACCGGCTTGTTTTGTTTGTATGACAACGATTGTGGAAAACGACTCATGAAGTTGGATTAGCTAGAAGAGCGAGGTGTGTGAGAACTCTGGGACCCTTTTTTCCACCTAGATCCCCGCTCATTTTCGCCCTCATGTCCCTCGGTTTTTGCACAAACTTCCACTTCCTCACCACATCGGCCGTATCTAGATCCACATCTAATTCGTGATTGTTCCTCTTGCGTTGTGGTGTGGAATAACATAGCGCAGACCACCTCAATGTAGGGCATAAATCAAAAATATCTGCGACAAGCTCACTGTGAAACACTTCTGTGGGAGTATAAGCAGCCCTTAAATAGATTGAATCTTAAAATGTATGAATATTGATTTCATTAACACC